ATATTCACAAGATAGTCACTGGAGTTGGGATAGCGAATAGGCTGTATAATATAATATATTCACAAGATAGTCACTGGAGTTGGGATAGCGAAATAGGCTGTATAATATAATATATTCACAAGATAGTCACTGGAGTTGGGTAGGCTGTACATTACAATATATTCAATGGTAGTATGATAACTACATAAGCAATAGCATGCCGTTATCTTTATTGGATCTGGTCTGATATGAACAATACTATCTCGCTGGTGGTGAGTTTATTATATGCATATGTAGAGATGAATTTTGATTTATAAACATTTGTATCAAACAATATTTTGTTATTATTTTACTTATATACTAGTACACCAAGAAAGCTTACAAGCCCAGCTGTATCACGAATTAATAGATAATAAAATAGGGAGATATTAATACTTACCCTTATCTTAGTGCGAAATAAATGTTTCTATTACAGAAACATAGAAAATCCAAGTTACTAATCACAGATGTATCTCCAGGAAGGAAGAAACAGATCTTCCCTTCTCTACTACACCTAGTTCACACTCAGAGTAGAGTGAAACACCCTCTACGTTTTCTTATCTCTCGGGTTCGACTAAAATCAGGTGTGAGAGAAATAAGTTAAGAAACCAATGTCAACATGAACCGATATGTTATGGCTTATCTGTCTGTCTATGTAAACGTTCTCCATAATAAGCTAAGGGCGTGTATATGTTCCGAGGGGAGAAAGTCCAACTAGCTTTTCCACAAATCAAGCACACGCGACTTCTAAGACGCTTTACTGTATGAAATATATTCCGTGTAGGTATTTAAACAACTATCAGTTTTTCATGATATTTCAGTGGAACTCTAGGCAGAGTTGACACAGTAGGTTTGTGAACTTTGATGGACTGTAACTGCGTGGTGAAGGAAACGGAAACAACGTTTCGGTTTCTATACTGAAGTCTTCTTGTCGCAGAGTCGTCCTCTTTTCATTCAACTGGCAGTTGCAGTCAGTTGTGGTTCTCAAACCTATTTGTTTATATATCTTATTATTAGGATCAGACTGTTTATTTTACGATGATTATTTTGGCCACGTATAGTTTAAGTTCACTTAAATATATATAATAGTTATGAAAGGTTCACTGGGTGCATTATTTTCCTCGAATGTTTAGAAGCCGATACGTGTACGTGTTTTTCTTTTAGCAAAGCCACATCAGGCTATCTGCTGTGTCCACCTAGGGGGTTTGTTTTGTTTGTTTTTTGAATTTCGCGCAAAGCTACACGAGGGCTATCTGCGCTAGCCGTCCCTAATTTAGCAGTGTAAGACTAGAGGGAAGGCGGCTAATCATCACCACCCACCGCCAACTCTTGGGCTACTCTTTTACCAAAGAATAGTGGGATTAACCGTCACATTATAACGCCCCCACGGCTGAAAGGGCGAGCATGTTTGGTGTGACGGGGATTCGAACCCGCGACCGTCAAATTGCAAGTCGAGTGCCGTAACCACCTGGCCATGCCGGGCCTCCCACCGAGGGGAATCGAACACCTGATTTTAGCACTGTAAATCCGGAGACTTACCGCTGTCCCAGCTGGGGACTAGATGCACCAAGTAAAGTGTTATACGTCATTATTGTTGTTAGATACGCGTACAGTATATAATTTATTACAAAAACAAAAATTTCAGTGCACTATCCTGAATACACAGTATTTAAAAAGTAGGTTAAATTACTTTGGTTAATCCTGAATGAGGAATTAATGGATAAAGACCATTTATGTTTACATTAAACCTTCTAAACCAATGATTATTGTGACGTAAGACATGACGTTATTTCTCTCGCAACTACTTCTTTGGATATATTTTAGTATATGTCCATTCAATGTTTCAAAAATCGCACAGTAAACATTGCATGGCCAGCTTCAAAGAAGCGCATTTTTCTGGAATATGTACCTCTCTGCTTCAAAGAGGTTAATTTGTTTGAAATATGTATCTTTCTGTTTCGAAGAGACAAACTTTATTGAAATGTGTACCATTCTCTTTCGAAGGAGGCGATTCGTCAGGTTATCATTTTGAATATCTAAATACAAAAACGTAAATTGACGTTGTAACGTTTACAATAAATAATGAATAAAATTAAATTGTTGAATGATAGACCAGAAACGAGCTTTGATAGCTTTATAGGTTGAGATTTGTATTTACATTAAATAAAGATACAAAAGAAGAATTGTTTATCAGAAGACGTCTTCTTTTATCACTGGAAGGGAGTTGAAATCCGTAAATAAGATTATTTATTTGGTACTAGAATTTTCGCGCAAAGCTACATAAAGACTACCTTCATTTAGCCAGCCCCAATTTTGAACTTACTGCTAATTTTTGAGCTACTATCGTATAAACAAGTAGTGGAATTTAATTGTCACACTTTTCGCACTCAAGGTCCCAAAATACGGAGGGCTTTTTTTTTGCGGCAGCATGATGCGAACAATGAACATTCGGATTTACAGTTCGAGTACGTTAGCCAGTAGGAAACACCTGACCTACAAAAAGATCGTATTTTCAAAACTCTTAGAATGAAAATACACGCTTGTCTATTTGGGTCCTTGGAATGAAGCAACACCCTAAATCTCACATAATAATTAATACCCCTATCATACCACTAAGATATATTATACACATAAAATAAATAAATAAGCTAGTAATTGGCTAATCTCGTTCATTATCATTTGAAGGTTCCCACACACACACGGATATATATATATAACTTTTGTATTAAAGACACTGTCAGTAGAACTAACAGCAACTTAAAGTTCAGTCGTCAGAGAAGTATAAATTCTGCCTTTTGTATGCACTTTAATTCCCCAGTAATTCGGTGGAGTCGGTATATAATATTAAAGAGGCCAACATTCGCGGACGAATACAACATGTCTCCGCCACGCTGTCCCAACATGGCCAGTTTTGACACTAGAAAAATCGAAAACTGTTTACATCACTGCTTGGAACGTGCAAGAAGGTATCTTTGTACCAAATCCCATGTAAGTTGATTGACATACACATGTAAGTTGGTTGACATACACATGTAAGTTGGTTGACATACACATATAAGTTGGTTGACATACACATGTAAGTTGGTTGACATACACATATAAGTTGGATAACTTGGTTGACATATACATATAAGTTGGTAAGTTAGTTGACATACACATGTAAGTTGGTTGACATACACATGTAAGTTGGTTGACATACACATATAAGTTGTTTGACATACAAATATAAGTTGGTTGACATACACATATAAGTTGGTTGACATACACATGTAAGTTGGTTGACATACACATGTAAGTTGGTTGACATACACATATAAGTTGGTTGACATACCCATGTAAGTTGGTAAGTTGGTTGACATACACATTAATAGTTCACGAAAACCTCAAGTTATGCTTTCCTCGCTGAAAAATTTAGCAATAGACAAAAATTCCAAAATTGTCTATATGTCTGTTTGGGACCTGCAAAAAGTGTGTTGGTACTAAATCCTGTTCAATTGCCCGAGATAAGGTTAAGCAATTAACCAAAACCCCTAAAAGTATGAGTTATTTGACCTTTTGACCCCCTAAAATGACCAAAAATGGGCATATCCCATGTTTTGTATGTATAATTATGGGATTTGTAAAAAAAGTATCTTTGTGCCACATTCCCATGTTAATTGGTCAACATATGACAGAGTAATTGACCAAAACTCACTAAATTATGCTTTCTGTGGTATCTTGACCCTCCCATAATCACTAAAAATGGGCATGTCTACCATATTTGGTTGTGAATGTGTGGAATATGTAAAAAAGTATCGTTGTGCCAAATCCCATGTTAATTGGTCAACATATGACAGAGTAATTGACCAAAACTCCCAAACATTATGCTTTCTGTGGTATCTTGACCCTCCCATAATCACTAAAAATGGGCATGTCTACCATTTTTGTTTGTGAATGTGTGGAATATGTAAAAAAGTATCGTTGTGCCAAATCCCATGTTAATTGGTCAACATATGACAGAGTAATTGACCAAAACTCTCTAAATTATGCTTTTTTTGTGAGCTCTGACCTCCATTAACGGACTCAAAACGGACAAATTCAACCTTTTTGTGTCAATTTGATGAGCGAATGAAAATTTATATTTGTACCAACTTTCATCTTAATTGCTGCAAATATGACCGCACAGGAGCCCAAAATATATATTTTGGGGTTGTTTGACTTTTGACCTCATAAAATCCTTAAAGAGACCTAAATCAAAAAAAGAGAAGTTTGTGTGGACATGTTAGACCAAGGTATAACCCGACCAAGTTTTAAGTCAATCCACAGAGAAGTGTAGGAATGGCGGAATGTTTGGGTAACTGTTATTATGATAGGGCACTCATGAAAGTTATATCAAAAAACAAACCGTATTATAACAAAAGTTATATCTTGGATTTTTATAGTGGAAGTGATTTTGATGAATTTTATTATTTAGGCGTTTATTATCGCTGTTTCCGATTGTTGATTCGATTAATTATCGAATTAATGAAAAATTTTCAGATTATTCTGTCTAATTTTTTGTAGCTTTTTCATATGTAGTTCTTGAAAATAGGTCATAAAATTACATGTGTGTGTCGATCTAAATTTTATATGCAGTTATTTGGCATGGCCTGGTAGTTAGGACATTCGACTTCGAATCCTATTACCGAACACGATCGCCCTTTTAACCGTGGATACGTTTTAATAGTAGGGTCAATATCCATTTTATCGTTGGTGAAAAAGTTGGTGTTGACTAGCTGCCTTCTTAGTTTATTACCGCTAAATTAGGGACAGCTAGAGCAGATAACTCTCGTGTAGCTTTGCGCGAAGCTACAAAAACAGACAAACCATATGCCATTGCTGTACTATTTTTTTTATTATGTAACTGCCGTACCCTGCTTTTAGCAGTGTCAATGTATCATTCACTTGAATTTATTAAATATTTTGCACTTATTGGTCGACTCACCGCAACAATTTACGACAAATTATTAAACATTTCTGATGAGTTGTGTATATCGATTCATTTATTGGGAAAAACAGACTCAAAGTTGGTAGCAACACTTGTGGAATATAGTAGCCAATAAATGGTATGTATTGATCAAATATACTCGCCTGATTTGGTACTTTTTTACTGATTCAAAGCTTTTTCTGCACAAGTCAAGCGATATCGTGCTTGCTACTAGCGCCACCTGTTGAGAAATAAAACGAACTTTCCTCAAGATGTTCTGACAACTAAACATATTCTGTACAAAATATGCATAAACTCATGAAGAGTTGCAACGGCTGTGCATTTATAGGAGGGAGCTGACTTGAATTTTTCCCTCATGTTTTATTCATATATTCGTATCGGAAATTCTATGAGCTCGAATAAATCAATACCCGTGGCACCTATGCCTTGTACCCTTAATTGACTAACGTGGTCTAATGGCAGTTAACTATATGCTGGCTAATCCCATTGTATTTGTGTTATTTTTTTATTTACTGCGTGAAAAGATGCTGTTCTAACTTTTGCTTTTGTTCCTTATTTGCAGTGTTTCATGACACACCTTGGGAAAAAGAGATTCGCCGAGTCA